TCCCTAAAACACTGCTTTGTAAGTAGCCTTAAGAGATCAGTCTCTAGAAGAGCTACGACGCTGTAAAGAATTCAAGAGCCCCTTATGCATCACACTTATGTGTCACCATCAGAGAAAGCATTATGATATGTGGTAACTCAGTGAAATATTTAAGAAGCTGACTCAATTTGGAATATGCAGATCAGTCATGCTAAAGGCACAGAGAGAGAAACCTAACTGAGCTGAAGCTCACTGTGTACATCTTAATGGAAGGTCTTATGTCTTCTTGTTTGGGAAATCTCTGAATGAGGTACTGGCTGCTAGTGGAATGATGAATATTCTTGTGTAAGAAGCAAAAAGATCAATTTAAGGAGACATCAGCAATGTCTCATGCACCATCAAGGGAGTTCTGAGTGATCATTCACAGATTTAGCCAGCAGTAATTGGCTTTTTCAAGGTTTCAAGCCTTCAAGAAATGGAGGAAAAGAGTATGAATGAAAAAGCAGGTAAGTGGGGAAGGAATGAGGCTTTTTTCTTTTTCAGAAATTAAAACTTAATAATCCAGCTGTGTATTGCATATTTCAGTCATCTGAAAAAAACTACCTTAGAACAGAGCGTGGAGTGAAACATTCTAGGCATAAGTGATGATCCATTCTAGTTCTTTCCCCAAACGAAGAATATGATGAAATAAACCCCACTTCAGAAACCAATCACTGGATAAACTGGTTTATAGCACAACCGCTTCTAAAGAATACTTGAAAAATCCAAAGATGAAAGGCAGCAGTGCTGCTAACACCAAAGCTTTCAGAAAAAAGCAAACTGATGATTTGTAAAACCTTACCTTCATATTCAATCTTCAGGCAATTTACATGTTTATATAGTGAATTACTTTAAAATAATTAAGGTCTGTCTACATCAAACTAGAGCTAAGTATACCTGCTATATCAACAACACGTTCTGAGGCAGGTACAGAAGTCTTCTGTGCTTTCTCTGATATTTGTAGTTAAAGAACTGAATCAATGCATATTGTTACAAATTAAGTGAATGCCAGTAATTCCCCAGCACAGCTACACCAGTGATTTAATTACATACTTTCAACTCTAATTTGAATATTTCTTCCACTATAGGAAAAACCTGAAGTGAATTACTTGCATCTCTCTCCTTTTAACATTTTTCTTACAGCAAATGCTTCTTTTCTTACTGAAGAAGATGAATACTTTCTATGGCTTCTATCAGTAGAAAGGAGCTTATCTGCTTGTAACTGCAATATGACATTGTTAAATAGCTGTATTTTCAGAGAGTCACCTGCACTATTCCAAAATATTTCATAAAGCCAAGGGGCTAGCAAGACAGTTATTCTATAGTAAACCCCGGCCTCAATCTGTGTGTAAGTATTTATTATGTGCAAGCAGTGTATCTTAGTTCATTCTTTTCCAAAGGTGGAGGAAATTTCACTATAGCTGTATATCCATACACACTTCCTTACAGTTATCTCATTGTTTTAAATAGTTTTGTTTTAAAATTTGTCAAAGTAGTTTTGGGACTGTACCATGTCTTGCTATATTCTAAAGGAATTGCAGGTTAGCACTGATTTCAAGTGTCCAAATGCAGAAACACCCTACAGTTTGAATTACAGCTAACCTATTGAACCCACCCCGCAATCCCCCTCACAATCCTGCACCATACACAATGCACTCAGTAAAAACAAACAAAAAAAAACAAAACAAAAAAACAACCCACTCAAGCCCCACAAAACACAAAAAAGCGAACAAAAACGCCCAACAAAACTCAAAGCCAAGCACAAACAAAAATCCATCCAAAAGAAAAAAAGAAAACCCCAGAAACACTCCTCAAACACATACACAAAATTTAAAATTCCCCATTCAGTATGCCATTCTAATAACATACTGTACCTCTTCAAAACACCAAGAGCAAGATCTTCATGCTCTGACAAAAACATAAATCCCAAAGACAGTAAGCTTCCACTGTGTCCTAGGGTAGGTAAGCAGCTTGCTTAGAAACACTAGACTTGAATCAGAACTATTCTTATTTTCATTGTCTCCAAGTTTTAACGGCTTAAAAAGGACAGAAATCACATTTTCATAAATTTTAACTTGAAATATCAGTGAGTAGTGTTTATGAAATGCATTGCGGATGAGCAAGCCAGCAAAGAGAAGGCTATCCAGTAAGGATGTGAAAACAGGATTTAGAGCTATATACAGTGCTGACTGGTTTACAGTCTGCCATTAAGGACATGAGCATATGGAGAAAAAGAACAGGTGTTTCCCCACAGCTGATGAGTAGTGAGTTCATGGAAATAAACAGGAAAGCAAGTCAACTGCTGGCACTTTTTTCCTGCACTTCTACACCACATTTTAGAAGTGAAGTAAAGCATAGCACACTAGCTAGACACAATTTTTCATACTAATTCATTTCAGTCTTAAATATTTATTCTCCTTATACTGCTTCTTGCATTATTCTAGCCTATTTAGATTACTGAAGCACACTTTTCATTGTGGTTTCTGCACACCGTGCAGCAATGCTGTAAATGACATGGCTAGCACCTATGCTGTAGCTTCTCCTCCTCTCCCTCTTGCCTAGATGGAAACTCCATATTGATTTTAAATGATGATGTGTTGTGCATTTTTGTAACTCTGCCTGAAATATACATAGCCAACTTTCAGAAAAGCAAATTTCACTGTTAACTGAAAAAAGGTTAACTGCAGTAAGAAGTTTCTTTCAAATTTTTCTTGACGTACATCATCTTCTACAACAGAAACTGTACCCATTTAAAGAGCAGCTGAGGGAGGATGGGAGAAGCACACATGCCCATCAGTCTAAACCAAGAAGCACCTTGAGGCAAATACTAGCTTCAATTGCATCCACAGAAATGTTATGTTGCGAGTTAGGTATAAATAATATTCTTCCAAAATGGATAAATAATAACTTGAAGATACTTCTAGTTTATGACAACAGCTCAAGTCAAAGATGAACTATATCAGGAATTGACTCGTATATTAAGCATTTCAGACTTAGCATCATTTTTTAGAGAAATGTAGTTGCTGCAGTTCGGACTGCTTTCAATGCTTTTTCTTTTTATCCTCATGAGGGGAAAGGTCCAGGGCATTAATTCAGAAACTGGCACAGTGTAAAATATTAATTTCATTCTCCACAGAACTTTCATAAAAGAAGCGAGAAATAAGCTGCTTTCAACCCAATGAATACTAATTTCAGGAAAAAAAAGAGTAAGACAAAAAAAATTATTTTGTTTTCCCAATCTCTTGGTCAATAGTTTCCTCAATTATAACACAGACAAATTGGTCCCTTTAAAAAAAAAAACCAAAACAAAAAAAAACCCCGCATAATAAAAAGCATTTAAATCCAGCTTGCATGTGACACTGGTAAACCTACAGTAACAATCTCTCTCAGGAAGATATCTGGGAAGCCAGTATTAATGAAGATGCTGAAACCAGGACGACTTCTAGATCACAACCCCTTCTGTATGTAGTATGATTATATCTTAAGTAGGCTTACAAGAACTGCTTAGGTAATTGTAAGCAACACTAACAATGTTACCCTAATTTTCCATGTACTTGAATCAATAACCTTAGCAGTAGCCTGTTATCAGTTAAAAATTAAACCAATTTGGTAATAGGGGCAAAAAAACACATACCGAAAGAAATGTTTCAATGTTATCGTGAACAAATGATGCAACATCTTGCCAGTCCAGGATATCTCCAAGCCAGCTGTTTTGACGGTTTATGTGCCATTTGTGTCCTTTGTGTCTTCCTGAATGTGTTACATTCTTAAAACGGAGATAAAAAGATGTCAAGAAAACAGACATTTGAATAACTTACAGGTATGAGAAAGCCAAAGACTAATGTTTTCTTAATGAGTAACAAATCCAGCATGCTTCTAAACACTTAGAGCTGCTTTAATTTATATCCTCAGAAATACCTGGAAGCATGCTGTACACTGGAAACATTAAATCTGACAGAAAACCATAGTTAATTATTCCATACAATTACAGCTCTGTATATAGTACCAATTCACCTCGGTTAAACATTAGCTTTACTGCTTGACTGATATAATGGTATCTATCTTGCTCTTCATGAAAGCACACAAGAAAGTGGTAATACTTTAAGTTACTGCCTACATAATTTACTGTTCGCAACATACAACCCTTCCTAGTATAACCCACAAATAAAAACACAAGCAGAAGCCAAAACAAGCTGTTTTCTCACAATTAGTGTCTACTTTCCCACTGGCTATGCTCAATCATGCAAAAGCTAAAAGCTAAACTGGAAGCACAGAGGATTTCCTCTGACTACGCAGCTTTGTAACTGCAACAGAGCAAGACAACAGGAAACGGCTATGAACACAACAGCTAGTTCTTTCAGTGGCTTCACCCTAATTATGAAGTTGCCTGTTGTCCAACTGAGTCACACCTGATCACCATGTAGCATGAGACCACGCAAGTCGCTCTGGGACTGCGACAAGTGTTTCAACAGTGCAATGCCAAAATTCCACTGGAAGCAAGAGTAAGCAAACCCAGCGACTACAACAGATCTCATCCTAATCTTCAATAGCATGAGACTGCTCAAGCTCTCAAATCTGGTGTTTATAAAAGCATCCCAATACTTCTGTTAGAATTTTCCTAAAACTTTTAACCTTACCAGCTTGCATTCAAAATGACAGTATCTTTTTTGGCATATGTGGCATGCAGTATTCCAAGTAAAGTCCCTGTACCGATTTATCTAAGAGCATTACATTCTCTGCTTATTACGATCTCTCCCTAGATGCACTGTTACACTTTATGATACACATTAGCAATGTTCTTTAACAATCCACAGCAATACAGAGATCTTTATTCTGAGCTGGCAATTTATTTAAATCAGAAGCATATGAGTAATCAAAAACCTCTCACCAATAGGCCTTCTCTATTTGTAAACTGTTTCAAGAACCTATTTGCAGTTCATCTAGTTCTATTTTCAAAGATAGATCTCACTATTAACTGGTAGAATTGGGTATAATTTGCAAGTTTTGTAACATTTTGTTAAACACTCCTACAGAGCCCTACTGAACCATACAGGGCTATGGAACATCTGACCCACAGGTTATATTACTAAAAGCAACAAGTTTATCAGTATAACTGTATGAAAAGTAGGTGCTTTTCTTGGTGAAGCATTTGACACTGAATACTCCCAAGAGCTTAAGGTCAGAAAAAACTATTGTAGATACAGCTTTAATTTCTCCTCAGTGGTCCCATATTCCTCAACATGTTCTCTCTCCACATGCTCTTCTACAACATTATCTTGTCAGAAAAAGGAACTGATTCTTTCCCCTACTATTTTGACTGCTATACTGAAACTCATACTTCTTTTAATACAGAGATCTTCTTGGAAATTTAGAGGTGCTTGAAAAATGACTGTTTAAAGAACAGTGTTAATATACTATAATTGCAGTTACTTAAATATAGGAAAGTATTTCAAGGGTATGACTTCTGGATTTTTATATTTCCATTGCACCATGGCTAATGAATTGCTTGCTTTTTCCTTTAAAAGGCAAACAGCATTGGCAGCATGAAAATTATTTAACTCTCATGACCTTTTCAAGATTCAGTGTGCAGAACCCATTATAGGAAGGCTAGTACAGTTGGCAAAAATGCACTGTAAGTAACTTAGCAAAAGGATAATTTTTCTCAAAATTTCAAATTAATAGAAGTTATACAAATGATACAGAATACTAGTTTCCTTTTCCTAACCCCCTCAAGATCACGAAAATTCAACAGAAAGCTTTAAACTATGAAATACTAAAAAAGTGAGCAAAGCATAAATTAAATGGCATACATAAAACTACACAGAACTACTTAAGTGAAGGACATAGTTCTGGCTATAGTCAAACTGTGACTGTAGAATTTTTATTATTCTGCCTTTGCTCAGCATTCCAACTTTTTGCAAACATCTTTTTCAGAAATGCGTACTTCGCATAATTACCTCAAAGCACTAAGTGACAGTTTACATAAATACCATTTAGATAAGTTACCCACCTTCACAAACCAAGAGTGATAAAGCCTGTCCCAGAGCTCTAGCACTTGCTTTTCAATCACAGCGGTGTTATTCACTTTTTCTCCTAAAATCTTATGGAGCTAAAATATACAGAAATATTTCATTATACAGGACAGAATGAAGCTGGCATCTACTGATGAACTCCAAGCTAGATGAATCATATAAGACTGTCAGTAAAGGCATGGCTCAAACCCAAATGAATAGAAAAGCTGAGTACCGGTATGGAATACACACTTCAGACAACATGGTTCACAACATGAATGTTCTGTCTGGAAAAAAAAAAAAACATTCTCCTGCACTAAGCTGAAGACTTCCTTCTGCACTGAAAAATCAATGCCATTTCTAAAATGCTCAATCCAAAATTCTTGATCATCTTTATAGTGAATCTTTCAAATAACTTGAGATGTTTGCTAGATACCAAAATGTATAAATAAGAATATTGGTGAATTCCCCTAAAGAAAATTAATTTAAATAAATTATAATTTAAAAAAAAAAATCCAATCTACCACACAGAAATTAAGTTACCGGTAGGGAAAAAAATTAGTCAGCATTGCCTATAATTGGACAGATAAAGCCAGATTAAAAAACCAAAATCACTCATCTTTATTTGAAGCATTTTCACTAGCAATCTTATTAAAAGGACAGATTTTTCAGCTTTTAAAACTAAATATTACTCTGAGCAGAAAAGACTACTGAAATCACTCCCACTCTTCCTTCAACTCACAAACTAGAGAGTGGAAAGAATAGATCTGTCGACAAAACGGTTAACCACACAGAAAAGAATCACTGACAAGAGTCTTTTTCTTTCTTTTTACTTTTATGACATACAAGAAATGAAGACATTAAAAAAGGTGGGGGAGCTCACTCTTACCTTATGCGTAATCCATTCTCGGCCATATTGGTACACATTGTTAGCTGCTGAATTAAGTGCCTTCTGAATAACCTGGGCTTCTGGGAGCCAGCTAGGTTTTTTTTTTTTTAAAGAAGGAAAACAAAGTTAACTGCTACATAATTTATCCATTTCATTATACCTGAAACATATTACAAATTAATGCTTCTGAAACAACAACAAATAGGGTTAAGAACATATAAGCTTACTAAAACTAAAACATTTCCTTCTACATATTAAGCAACAGACTTTCTCATAACCAAAGCACAATTCAATCTAGGGCACATCATTGCATTTGGAATTCTCCAAGGCTCCTGAAACCTTAAATTGGTATCTCAACTTTTTTAAAAGAGGTCTGCTCTTCAATCTGTATGCGTGCTAGTCACATCACATTCCTATAAGTTTTCCTAGCGTTCCAGCTTTCTGAAAACACTGTATGAAGCAGTCTCATCTAGCTCTGAAGATAAACTTCTGGATTATGAACTGAACGCAAATTTTTAATGTAGCGTCCCTGAAAACGCGATCAGATGAAGCAACAGGTTTGGGAACCAGTTATTTCTAAGTCCCCACTAAACTATCTGCTCATGGATTTCTTCAGGGATTCATTCCACTTTAGAGCAACAGATGCACTGATTTGCCAGCATTCTGACTCTTGTGAATACAGGGCACAAATTCTCTGCTTTGACTTTCTTTCTACATCTTGATTCAATGGCACATGTTGGAGCCCTTCCAAAACAAGAACACATTCAGGAAATAAAACTGCTGCATTAGATCACCTGACTGAAGATTAACACGGAAGCTTTTCTGTCTATAAACCCTTCAGATGTGTTGTCCATTGGAATTGCAAGATATTTCAGTCACTCGTCTCTAAATGTAATGTAAGCATCAAGCTCTGAAAGTGGGTGAAGCTTGACAGATTTGACAAAAGGTATAGTTGCTCCTAATGAATTAAAAGATAGTGGTTTGGATGCTTCAAATCTGGATAGAAACACTGGAAGTAAAAATTTTAGCTAAAATTCCACAAATTACTCAACTAGTACTCCAGTATTATCATGATGTGGGTAAGTTCCTGACAGTCAAATTTTCATTTTTATTGGTCCTACTTATTCCTATGTTACAGCAAAATGAAAAGGCCAAACAACACAAGAGATACCATAAATAAATGAACAAATAAACACATTAAGTGATTTCTGTTCTCTTGACTGTAATTACTTAAGTATTGCTAAAGTACATATTAGTATAGCATTGATTAACTATATCAGTTTAGTTGTTTTTGAAAATTTCTCTTGAATAATACAACATGCACTGTCTTTCAACCCTGTTAAGCCATCACTTTTGTTCAGGAAGTGCCCTTGAAAAAAAAAAGTCAACCATTCTTCTCCAGAAGACAACTCTTTTCTCCTGCTACGTGCCTGGACTCACCTTTACTCAATGTCTGCTTAGCTGAAGCAGAACGAAAGCAAACTGGAAAATCACCCCCCTCAAAATCACACTCCTCAGTCTTACCTATTCCCCCTCTACTGTTCATGCAATCACTTCTTTGCTCACCAAGGTGCCTTTGTTTTTCTCTATACATATTCTCTATACATAATCTCCCTATCCATCTTTCTTTCCATCCTCAAACTCTTTCCAGTTCACTTCAAAAACATTTTCTTCAACTCCTATTCCCTCAAAGGTACTCTGCAGCCTGTTCTCTACATGGAAAAAAATAATTCAGTTCTCATCTCACAACCTTCTACAGAGAGCATTCTTTGCCATTACTTTTCTTTCACAAGTAAAAGGGAAAAGAATATTGACCTCTTTATTCTCTGCACTATACAAGATCTTCTCCAAAACTGTAACCAGAGGAATTTATACAACTGTCCTTCTCCACTAAAGTCCAACCAGTCCTCAAGTGAGATACCACATTGACAGTTCTCCAGAGTAATGCACAAACACTACTGCTGCCTGAGAGTTTAGCTTTTCTATCTGGCTGCAACAGGTCACTCCCATATTCTGTTCACCTCGGAGATTTTTACAATTAAGAACTATTCATAAGAGCACCTGGAAGCTTGTTCATCCACCCTATACTATTCGCTTAACTTCAGCATTCTTACTTTGCCCACTCTGGGTGACTGGCTACTGTCTCATTGATCAAGCTGCTTGTGACTTGAATCATGTGAACGCTCTCTTGATGTACCTAAATTAAATACAGAGAGGAGAAATGTTATGTAATGCAAACTAGAACTCTTCCTACATTCAGAGAGGCTTCTTTATTTTCTTTTTTTTTTTGTTTGATTGTCTTTTGGGGGGGGTAGGGGAATGGGGGTGACCAGTTTGTACATTTAAAGAAGAATTTTTTTCAACACAGACAACCCATTCTTAAGAATGAAGTGCCAGTAACCCAAAAAAGCAGTCAGTACAATCATCATCAGTCTGTTCTGACAATTCTGGTCACACATTATGTGAGTATAATAGCAAATGGAAATTTAAATCTTATCTCATCAGTGGAAAAATTTTTAACAATACAGCAGTGCTATCAAAGGAAGTACTAAAATACAAAGCATAGTTTCAGATATACCTTTTCAAGCCATGGATCAAAGAAGTGTAAAAATTAATGAATGCTCAGCTCTAACACAACCAATCATGCTGTGAAATGCCTCACCAAAATAATTCTTCAATAAGAATGATAAAAGACATCTTTCATAAATATCTTAATGTTCCTTTTATGAATCTAAGAAAGCTTTAGCAGGAATATTTGCACAACTTTCAAAGCTTTCAACTTTAAGCACTAAACATTATATAAGCCTACATTTTGGAAAAAGGAGATTGACATCAGAATCCACTGATTTTTATTCTGTAACTGTATTTAAGTCAAACATTCAATCTCCATTTACTGTTTCAGGTATGGACACAGCTCCATTAAAAAAAAAAAAGTAAAAAAAAAGTACATGAGTGACCTCTTCTGGTGAGCAAAAAAAAAACCCAGTCACAAACCAAAAATCAATTTCAGAGAATATCTGATCAAGAATCTCAGCACATTTAAACTCAGAACAGGATTCCATGAGGTTATTACAGGCAATTACACAAACAAATTGACAAATACACCTTAAGCATTTTGCAAATGTTCCTAATGCAAGGTAAATTAAAAAAGAAAAATTTCTAAGTGGCTCTGCCATTGCCAAGAAAAGTGTAACAGGATGCAAAACAAATCAGTTTCTGTAATATATAAGCTAGTAACTGTTTTACTAGAATAAATTTTGTATTTCCAAATGACTATATATTAGTTTTGTCATATATGTAAATAAACTTATACATACAAATAAATACAAATATATAGGTTTTTTTAATATAAGAAGTCTTGGAATGTAGCAAGTTCAACTACAGAGCATTTAGCTACTAAAATTTTTAAAAAATTCTTTAAGCTACACAATTTTGCATAAATATCAGGAACTTTCATTCAGCATTTAAAATTAACTCTATGATTACATTCCTTAGCACACTGTACCTTTGCAGTAAGGAGCAGGGCTAGCAGAAGGGTTCCTATCACTAGCAAAAATATTATGAAAATGCTGATTATTTTATCTAGCATTTTCTCCAACCACACGATCATCTGTGCAGAAAAAAGAAAAAACAAATCATAGCATATAAATCAATCTTTAATGAAAGCAACGCTGTATGCTATATGACGGTATTGTTATCTTTAGTTACAATCAGAGAGCAAAATCAGGCTCTAATCAAACAGCATTTATGCCCAAGCTTGGAGACGAACAATTAACAAGCGATGTTAGCATGATTAAGGTCATGGTATGACATGTGATTTTGCAAACGACATCTACACATTACCACAAGACACAGCAAGCTCTCTGCAAAGCAAGCAATAATTTAACGTTTACTTACTAGACCTAAAGAAGCTAGCATTTCTGTCAGCTATGAACCTAGAAATTTGACTTTGTTTCTTGTCCTTCAGTAGTGTGTAAACTCACAGTATCTGCACAGGACTTGGGAGCTGTCAAGATATACTGTAAAGTACAGCCATGACTTTCTAATTTGAATAGCTAATGGCCTTCTAAACAGCAAATGAGGTCTTACTGCAAGTAACCATATTTTTATAGCTGCTCATCAGCTTCTGAACTGAAATGGGGCTGGAGGTTTCCTACATGATCGAACATCAGGCCGATTATTCAGCACTGACTATCTTTATTCACTTTCCATCTTGAAAGGATTAAAACATGCATCAGCTAAACCTACTGAATAAGGCATATATGTTGTTCTGTCGGTTTATGGAGTGGCCCATTCTACACATGCTCACAAACACATAATGATACCACTAAAGATTAAAGGAATTCTTATCATACCATTCAAAACAATAAAAATGCTCAGCCACGTGACTACGGAGAGAGTTCTAAAATACTGCAAGCTGAGCTTTGTCTCATTCACAAATTGAATGTTTATATAAAAAGCTGAGAAAGCCCACTAAAGTATGACCAAATAAATTTTTCTAGCTTCTATGGTTCAAATACCAAGGCTATTTCTACTCCATGTGGCATTACTGCAGGAAAAAGCAGCAGAACAAGTACAGCTGTAAAATTTGTGTTTAAGAGAACTGAGGTCAAAGCCAATGTGCAGTAGATGAAAGTATTTCCACATAAGCACAAGTCATACATTCAGTGATTACGCTGGTAACTTTATAACTAGAGATCTTACAAAACTACCGGTACGCTTGCCCATGGCTTACATTAGTTCTTTCTTCGTAATTTACCCTATCCCCACACATAAAATAGGCCTTGGAACAACTAACTTCTGCAGACTGCTGTGTGATGACTGAATTGGTTAACACTGAAGTTAAATCTCCTATTTGAAAAAAAAGAAAGGATTTTTTTTTTTTACCTCATCCTGTAGCATCTGAGCAGGTAATGTACATCAAGCAATTCTTTCTAAACTTCTAATTCTTTTACAACTAGCTCCTTGTTTGATCTAAATTCACATAAGGATTATATTCAGCATATTAGAACTGTTGTTCAAAATGATGAAGAAAACTGGAAGAAAGCAAAATCCTTTTAAAATAAACAAGTATTCAGCCAGCAGTTTTTGGTAACAAAATCTGCACTATATTATGACCTGCAGAAAGGAATTCAGAGAACCTGAAAGAATCTGCAAAATCTTTTGTCTCAGATATTTTTAGTATTTTTCAGCATTACTGAATTCAGATATCAGAAATGCCTTGCAGTGCTAGAGGGACGGTACCTGCCTGCAGCAGTACTGCAGCTTTCTAACCAACTAAGAGTAGCCTCTACATGGGGCTGTCACCTCTCTGGAAAAGATACTGAAAACAGAATTTGCTGTGCCTCTCCAAGCCTCAAATACACCTAAGGAATATGCAAGGGAAGCAATGAATAAAATCCCTTGTTTTAAAGGTCAGAAATCAAAAATATCACTGAAAAACATTGGGTTGGCCAGGGTATAGAAGTTTTACAGCATAGACTTCAAAATAAGGCTAGTAAAAGTTAAACCTGCCCTTGTTACTTAGTTAACAGACTTCAAACTAATTGCTATTTACTTTCTAAGTTAGATATAAAAGAAATCTGCTAGCTTGTCTCACATATAGCACCTTAATCAGACTCACTAAATCCAATAAATCAGAGAGACTGTCAGAGATTTTGTGAGAGTGGTATCCAATAGATGAAATCTCAGTGCCGCTGAAGCTGGATGCTTTCAGTGTTTCACCATGGCAGCAACTACTGGAAGATCCAGCTCCAAAAGATCATGACGAGGACTTTCTCTGAACTGGAACATGGCCCAGAGGCGATCTTTTCTTGATGCTCCTCATTATGGGTTGAAGTATGCCTACACTGTCACTGAGGTGTGGCTGCAGCACATGTAAAGCCTAAATTACCTTTAATCTCATTAACAAAGTAGTGGCAGCACTGATGTTGTACCAGCCCCAGCCATCCAATCTCACCTTGTGTTTATTTACTTGGGCCAGCAGTCCAAGCAAGCTAGATGAAAGCCAACTCTCATATGCCTAAAGGAACTGCAATTCCATCTCTCACCACAGTCCTAAAGAGATCCAAATTATACAACTGGTACAGGCAAATCACAAGAGAAGGCTGAACTGAGTATTGTAGAAGTAAAAGCAGATGTACAACATTCATTTAGGTCCATATTTACTCCCTCTCCTTTACTTTGCTTGCTATTAAACCTCCCTTCCTTCCTCTACATTTACCCACAATATTTCCTTAGGAAGAACTCACCTTTGCACACTCATGCTAAATAATGCATAGGTGCTGTGTTACTGCAGGCAAGCTAGACTGGTAAATCCCTGTGTGCTTGTACTTACCACTGAATCAGGTCCAGACTTTGCTCTTACCCCAACCCTGTCAGACCCCCTGTCTTTACATCCTTCCTGAAAACCATGGGCATGCACACAAGGACAAACATACACTGACTAAACACTAGTCATTAGCCAAAGATCCTCAAGTTTTAAATTCAGTTCCAAGCTTCTAATCTAAAGGTTAGTCAACTGCAGGAGGCTGATGCTGCCACAACACTCAAAATTACGCAAAGGTAAAGGAAAGCCAGGCTCCTAAGCTACAGAAGGTCACACTGGTAAAATCAAACTGAAATGTTGATGATTTGTGATAGACTGTCCACAAAAAACTAATCTGAATTGTCACAGTTTTGAAAGGAAATATATCAACTTTAAAAATGCTTTTAAAATTTAGCTCACTGTAGAAAAAAAGGTTTTAAGATGAGTTGCATTCTGCTAAAATGTTTCACAATAATTTGCAAGTTCTCCCTGCTGAAAGCTCTTGGGCGATGATACAAACACCGAGCTATAATAGAACTACAACTCATACTTAACAACCAGGAACCTTACTATCTAGACATGTTCTCCATGCTATGCAGTAAGGTACATCATTTAGGAATTCGTATTTTCTTATGTTTCCCACTGCATAGCCATCAGAACACTAGTTTTTCTAATATGTTTTATCTACTGTATTACCCACACAGTGAAGCACACCCAGAGATCTACTTCATTTTCAATTCAATCCACATGAGGTTACCAAAAAAGACTTTTTTTTCTTTTTCCTTTAAACAGCTTCACTATCTACCAGGGTTTTTTTCAAGACATTTCCTAGACTCATCGCTGACATTTCCCCTCTAGTTCAGTGAATGTGTGAGGATTTCATGTTATTAATATCATCTGACAAGAATAAGAGGAAACCTGTACCAGGACACATCTCAGAGTTACACAGAAATGAGTCAGATGAGTAGTTAAGTCAGAAGAGATAGAGAACAGTTTACATGAGGTCTCAAGTCTACTCATACCAGCATCTCTCCAACAACAACAGCAGAATTCAGCAATTCTCTCTGAAAGACTCCTGCCATAGACTATGTTATAAAGAACAAAGCATGCCAGCTCAACTGAACCTATTCTGTATTTTGAGCTATATATACTGTGTTAAGCTGTATAATTATGTATTATTGTCTGGGAGGGTGGGGAAAAGTTTCAAGCAGCTCTTTGAAAAAGAAGAAAAAAAAGATAAGGTTTATCACATAGCCGTAATCAGCCATAATTTCAAAGTTTGCTGTCTCTAAGTGATGTATTTTCAGATTTTTTGGTGGATTATCAGAAAACTATCTTGGTGTTCTCACAACTACTTCCCTTCAAAGACAAGCAAAAAGGAGAAAGGTGCAAAGGAAGCAGCCTTTTAACTGCATCCAGTGCTCTGTATCACAAATCTCCTTTCTTTGCCTCTGGTAGAACATGAGGAGATTTTAAAATGTAATTATTAAAAGAAAATAACCCAACAAAACAAACCTGCAAGAACCTGATGCAGATTGAACAGTATTTTTTTGTCTTTTTTTTTTTTTTCTTCCCCCCTCCATCTTGGTAACATTATTATTTTACTTGCTTATGCACAGCAGTCAGCACTGCATGTAACACTACAGGACTTTCAGGATTTCTTCCTATGAAACTGTAAAGTAAAATGTTAGTTTTAAAAATAGCACCTAAGATCTAAAAAAAAGAAAAAAAAATCAAATTCTTAAGAAACCATCTCTACAGGAATTAGCCCAACAATTCAAATCTCTAAACTAAAATTAAAATATTTTACAGTTCAAAGCAATTACAGTGAAATTATTTTTGCAATGTATCAAAATTAAGGAAGAAATTGATCTATGTACATGAATTTTCAAATAAGCACAACAAAAACATAAAAGCCATAAAAAACATAGTTGAGACTCAACTTCCACCTGCGGCTCACTGAACTCAGCTCTTCACCTAAGCTATGCTAACAAACCAATACCTAGTAAAAAACCTTTATGAAGGGTTATAGTTGCACATATTTACTAATTGTAAGGCACTCAAATAACACAAACATTTCAATGTCAGGAAATAAAAATGTAATTTTAAAACAACCAAACTATATTCAAGGGCCAAAAAACATTCAAAATTTCCCCTCTTAGTGGACAATTACAACTGAATCTTAAAGCAAGCAACTCTACCCTCTTGTTCAGAAGCACAGAAAACTCCCCAACATGTAATACTGAGTTCACTGATAAAATACTGATGATCAGACTTTCTAAATTCATGATAGCTGCTCAGTCTAGACACTACATGCAGCACTATTCCCCATCTACCACCCACAGCAGATACCAGCTGTGCAGCCCCACATCACTGTTTACAAGAACCTTCTAGAGAGTTGTGCCAGTGCCCCCATGGCCTTTGTGCTCTACTCTGTTCTGCTTGTTTTCAACAGCATTCAAAATGACAGCATTTCAGGTGTCTGTCACGACATTCAAGGCAGACCCATGGTTTCTACTGTGATAGCTTCTGAATGGAAAGGATGGGCTGCTGCTTATAAAAACATAGTAACTCTCCCAACTAATACTGCAGTGGTAAATGAGAATAAAGGTTGCTGCTGAAAGTATAACCCATTTTTACATATGTTTTTTTATTTTTCCTCTTTCACTTAATTACTAAGTTTTCATACATGTTATCACCTACTAGATTTCCACCTTTGAAACTCTGAGGTCCTGCAATTGTCCACATGCTACAGGCATCCCTTTCCAGCTTTGTGCTACCCTGAAGCAATGACACTGCCCAAGTCCCAGAGAGACACTGGAACACCGAGTTGTCCAGATTTCAGTCATGCATGAGGCCAAACATGGGCTGAACCAGTTTTAACTTCCCTTAGGATGGCAGTTCCCCAGAGAACAATAGTTAACCCTAGCTAAGATGAACCATGGGAACTGAGGGGTACATTTCTTATAAAACACACATCACACTTCTAAAAACCACACAAAAGAAAAAATATTTCAGCTATACCAACTGCTTTAATTCTTTTTTTACTTATCTTTTTTTAACTAGCCCTCACTTTCCTTCAGACTGTCATTAGATTCAGCAGTTCTGGGACCACAAGTACTCTCATTTCACTCCTGCTACACTGAACACCACTGAGTCTACAGGCCAGTCTGATACTTCAAAAGTAAACGATTAACAGCACTGACTGAAGCCAGTCAATGCATTAGTTGCAAGCACTTACATTCTTAGCTTTGTAACTGTGCTTCACCCACATCACTCATGTTAACTCAGTTAACTCTCCAGCCTGGGAGAGAACTGGTTTTGTTCTGCGTACAAGTGGGGACCAGGTGGAGATCCAACTGTTCTTAAAAGAAAGTGCCACTAAATCAAACTACTGCTTGAAAGGCTAATGCAGCACTGTTATACAAACCATTTAACTATGTGCATTCATTTTAGTAGAAGACAAAGATCAGGTAGAATTATATGACCTTCAGTAGCTTATATCAAGAGCTGGAAGAGACATACTTGGGAGAGAAAACTAAGAAGCAAGGCATGTTAAGGAGTGTTCATGCTGCAAAAAAAACAAAACTCCCCAAAACCACAGAATCCATTAGTTGGAATCAACATTTTTCTGTTTATTTACCTTCTTATTAAGCCAGTGCCACAGCTTGTCAGTGGCAGGGGGAAATGGAAGAAAAGGGGAAAAAAGACAAGAACACAGTGGAAAATTATTGAAAAATGCAGTAATAGAGAGGGGAAAAAAAAGCAATGAGAGGCAGGCAAAGTCATCCAAAGAATGAAAATGACATTGTTCCAGACACAAAGGTAAACTGCAATAGGAAAAGAAGACCACATCAATTTCTAATGCAGGAACTCAGATTGTACTATTAACATGCACTTTCTGAAACAAAGAGGGATATAACAAATAAGAACAACTTTATGATATTAACTGTAACAGAGAGCTAACATTTCAGATTTCAGAGCAGGACTTGTGAAAGTACTCCGAGAAGGGTACTTTACTGAAACATCAAAACTTGACATACTTGTTTATTGCATTAATACTTCCATTCAGGCAGTTTCCTACATATTTCCAAACATTCCTATATGTCAACTACTGTTAAACAAATTTTATACGTTTTTTTCAGCACCACATTCATATTACAACACTCACATTCAACGGTACATCATCAAATACGTGATTAAATCAGAAAGACACTGAACAGCAAATTGCAGATCAAATAAATGTATGGATTTCATATAATTTTATTGGTTGTGCAGAAGGTTCTTTGCACTGCTCAACAGTCAATTTCTCTTTTTGTACTCCAGTTATTTTTCCTTATTCATTCTCACCCATACTGCTCAAGTGCGCCCACTTTAGGACTTAGTTCACGTAGGACTATACTCTTAATTCTAGCCACTAGTAATCGGTGAGTAGCATAATCACAACAGTGAAAAGCTTTAAAGTTATTATTTATCTGTGTTGGAGGTTAAGATCAAGTAAGAGAACTTTGTTTCTCCCTGAAAACAAGATCATTGAACACTCAAACCTAGCGTTTTCACCAGTTGCCAGAAATTATATCAGCTCCCAATGAAAACAAAATGTCAGAACATTTCAAAATAAGAAAAAAATCTCAGAATGTTAATTAGAAGCAAGAAGCAGACTTGCAAAGAAACATGAACATCAGTAAACAAGAAAATAAAATATGTCACAAAGCACCCACACTTTTACTAGCTTTTACTACTCGTGGAAATATCCACAGTAATGGAAAGCAATGACAGAGCCTCAAAAGCCTCAAATTGACACTGTAAAATTTGTTTCTATTTCACTTCTTCACCTACGGAATAATTTATCAGTGAAAAAGGGAAAGCTGTTTACCAATTCAGCAACATACTTTTGCCTTTAACTTTACTTCTGCATATTAAAATCCACTATACATTAGGTTCATTTTGGAAAAAACACTGATCTCATGGCTGTATTTCTCCACAACTCCAACAAAGCTAGAGTTCTATTGTTAGTCTGAGATTTCAGCAGATTGTGAAAGGAAGTCTTTTGTATTTTTCTATAATCTCAACCTCCTGGAATTGGATGATAAATAACTGAAAAATAACATTACATGTCAAAAATAACAGTAATTTAAAAATTAATGTTTAAGACAATATCTGGGAGGCTCTGCCTATTCTCTTATCAATACTGATGTTGAAGTAGTTCTACAAATATAGTCAATTTACATTTAAAAATAGGCTACAGCTTAATTTTAATCTTCAAGTAATCCAAAATTAATAAGACTACAGCCACTTTTCCAGTATTTTATTGGAAAGCTATTTATGTAAGATCTTACATACCTATGAAGTCTTTCCTAGAATAACATATGCACTGGTAGAGACTGCCCATTTTCTGTGTTTTAACTATGTGCTAAACTTGGTACCAGAAGAACCAAGCCTTAGCTTTACCCAAAGTCCGAACAAGTCCTCCATATATAAAATTCTAGTATGCTATACCTAGAAAAAGCATATAATAACTACATGGTTCACCAAAGTCTACCGGAAAGCATGCTTGCAAAAATGTAGCACATTCTAATTACTAAGTCTAGCACATGCAGTTGAGCAACCGCCTATGCTGAAGTGTTGCAAAGTCTAATCAAAATTAAACTACAGTAACCACGTTAAAACAGAAGTTTTCTTCTTAAAAAATAAAATTATGAGTAAAATATATTATTAGTTCTTAACTGTTGATAAGAACATGCATTATACCATATCTATTAAGATGTCAGATGACTTGATGGATGACAACAGAAACCTCCCTACTCTTTTCTCCAGGCAGTCTCTCATATGTGAGCTGCTGCATCTGCTGGCTCCATGGGGCAAATGCACAACCAGGGACTAAAGAATACAGTAAGGACATTCAATTTCCATAGTCCATATTTATAATCACAGAATCATTAATGTTGGACGAGACCTCTAAGATCATCAAGTCCAACCATCAACCTAACACCGCCATGCTCACTAAACCATGTCCTGAAGTGCCACATCCACACGCTTCTTGAACTCCTCCAGAGATGGTGACTCCACCACTTCCCTGGGCAGCCTGTTCCAGTGCTTGACCACTCTTTCAGTAAAGAATTTTTTCCTAATATCCAATCCAAACCTGCCCTGGCACAACTTGAGGCCAATTCCTCTCATGCTATTGCTAGTTACTTTGAGAAGAGACCAACAATCACCTCACTGCAACCTCCTTTCAGGTAGTTGTAAAGAGCAATAAGGTCTCCCCTCAGCCTCCTCTTCTCCAGACTAAACCACCCCAGTTCCCTCAGCTGCTCCTCATAAGACTTGTTCTCCAGACCCTTCACCAGCTTCATCACTCTTCTCTGGCATGCTTTAAAACAGGCCTGCACATCCAGGCACAGCTTGGATGAATATGTATAAAGAAAATGAAAAGCAATGACCTACTTTCTTTCCTCTTGATCAGAACTTCACTTCAAATTTGTCTGTGTTTCCAAGATAACCAGAGGTTGATGAGCAGTGGGAAAGAATAAGTTCTTTTCTTACTGCTTTTATTTAAGAAACAGACATAATCAGTAAAGCTCAAAGATTTGCATGCATGAGCAGTACTCTCCCATGATTTTTCAAAATGAGTTATTTTCCAGACCATTTACTAGCCTTCTAAACTTCACCTGGGAGAAAAAAACATGCCACTCTAAGATGTCTTCCTTATCTTCGCTACCTTTTACTCAAAACTGGAACTATTTCCTAACCAGGCATACCACTTTAGAGAGACCAAGTAGTACCACTAGGTGTTTGTGTGAAACAGACCTTTTCAATGGCTTCTTGTACTTTGCTAAGAGCACTAATACATTCCGATGCTGAGATTCAGCCTCCAAGTAACTCAGTATACCAAATAAAAAAAAAAAACCCAACACAGACAAAAAAAAATCACTAAGCAGCTTCAGCTCCAAGGAAAAGAAAATACAAATAAAATATTAAAAAAATAAACATCTAATTGCAAAGGAAATCATCATTCAATTTTGGTTTCTCACACCCACATAAAAGGTAAGCTGTAACAATTTACACCATGGATTTCTACTTTGTATTTGTCTATTCTCACTTCTTCTTCAACAGTGCCTACTGAAGCCAAAGTGTTTGGTAATCCAACTTAAATACAGGTCAGCCATCCTTTCTAAAAAAACTTTCAAGGATGTAATTTTCATTCCTCTCCTTTCCCTATCCCCACAAAAATCATGAATTCCAACATCTTATGGCAGTGCTTCCCAAATTTTCAGAGATAAGATGCATCCACAATCCTACAATGCACAGAATAAGCATATCCAGTAGAACTTGAAATATATGAAAAGCGTTAGTGTGATAAGCATTGGAAGACCACCCATGATAAAGCCAGGTGAACTGTAACCAGACTAGGCACAAATGAGGACAACAGCATCATGCAGAGTATCTAGTGTCCTTGTAACAGCGAGAAGAGTTTGCTTTAATACACGCAACACAGACTCAGTAAGAATATGAATGTCATCTCAAAAATGAGAGGGGAAAGGGGAGATAAGAGAAATGAGTTGTGTCAACACCGTTCTTTTGCTTAGACAAGAACAACATGAATATAAACTGACCTTAAATACATTTAAGCTGAAGAGCAGGAAGTTCTGCTGCACATTACGACAAAAGCCCTACCTTCTTTAAGGAGAAAAGACTTAATAGAATTAGGAAGGATACTGTATTACACAGTTATGCAATACACGGATACTAAACTTGAGAACTCATGAAATACAGTAAATACAATATCATGTCTAGAAAGTTGTCATCTTACAAAACAAAAACTTCTAATGAAAAGCTTTGTATAATGTAAGCTTTTATCCTAACGTGTTAATACCTTCCACTCTTTTGGAAATTCCCTTTATCTTGTTCATAGCTGTATTCTGAAAGGCTTTTCCGTTTTTAAAGTCTTCCTCAATGAACTCTGAAATTGTTACTTATTTCCTTCAGCCATTTTAATGCTTTTGTTGACCTTCTGACATCCATTTTTCCATCAGACCTCAGCTTAAGCTCTTCCTGTAGGAATTCAGAGCTACAAGCTGCAGACAGATCTGCTGAGGTACAGATGCTCTGATGAATGTACTTACAGGGTTCGGCTCTTCAGCTATAGAAGCTCTGAGGTAACTTTTTTTCTAAAGCAGGGAATACTTCCAATATCAGTTACAGGAAGCACATTCTTACACATTGGCCTAGCTGTTACAAACAAAATAATCTCTCAGATTAAGTCAAAAATTTACAATTCTGAAAGGAGGAGCCTTCATAAAATTTATGAAGCTTTCCCAACTCTGCAATTTGCAATGCAAATGGGGGTGCATTTTGAGTGGGGGAAAAGGGAAGGTAGCACAGAAGCCTTATTCTATAGTACTGCCCAAATACCTTATCCCACATATTTCTTCTCTCACAGAGGGAAGCCTCCCTTCTGTACCACCATGCCACTGTGTTCAACCACTATACTTCACACAGTGTAAATAAATGTCCTTGAACTAACTCAGACCCTACTTACAGAATAAAATGGTTTGCTTTTTAAATTAAG